AGGGAGCGAGGAAGGAGGAGGAAGGAAGGAAGGAAGGAAGGAGGAGGAGGAGGAAGGAGGAGGAGGAGGAAGGAGGAGGAGGAGGGAGGAAGAGAAGAGGAAGGAGGAAGGAGGAAGGAGGAAGGAGGAGGAGGGAGGAAGGAGGAAGGAGGAGGAGGAGGAGGAGGAGGAGGAGGAGGTTCGCTCGCTCCTCCTCCTCCTTCTCCTTCCCCCCTTCTCGCGGCACGAGCCCCACGCTGTGCCGCGCCGCCACTTCTGGCTCGCCGCGCTTCGGCGCGGCTCGCCGACCTCGCCCGCCTCCACGGGCGGGCCCGAGCTCGCGAAGAGGCCCGCCGGAGGCCCCTGTTAGTGGGGTGGCGTGCACCCGCCGCACGTTCTTCTTCGATGGTGCCCCCCCCCCGATTTTCTATCGGGCTGGCCCCGTCCTCCCTGGATGCCAGTGATGCCGATGTAGACGATGAGGATTACAATGGGGAGGGCATGCTGGCAGGGACCTTCGACGTCCCTGGGAGCCGCCTCATCCCACCTCCTCGCTGACCTCGTCCCAGCCCCCAGGCGCCCGCGCCCCGGGCATCTCCCAGCCATCGCGCGGATGCCTCGGAGCTGCGCCGGCAGCCCCTCGGCGGCGGCCCTATAGCGCCGCCGCTGACGCGCTCCGCGCACCGGGGAGCAACTGGGGTGAACCCTAGTTACTCCTTGGTGCGCGGAGCGCGTTGTGCTGAATTCAGCACAGAGCCAGAAACAACAGCCGCAAGGCCCTCCGAAAGTTTAGTTTGTGCCGTCTCGTCCTTCCTCTTAGCTCAGGGGCGGGGGGGCCGCGTCGACCCCCCGTCGCCCACACTCATCGCCGACGGGGGCCCCCCGACAGCCCACCCCGCCCAGGAGCACGGGCATTCGCCATCGGGCTATGCGAGGGCCTCTCGCCGATCTCTCAACGACGGACCGCCGGTTCCAGGGCGACGTCTCCCCCCCCCTCGGCCCGTCCCCCCTCCGTGACGTGGGCCCCTCAAGGAGGCGGCCGCCAACACGTCCGAGGCCTCCGCGGAGAACGCCACCGAGGACAGCTCGGCGCGCGCGGGGGGGCGGCGTCGAGGCGGGCTCGAACTTCGAGGGAGGTGCGAGCTGCGAGGTCGGTCCGAGCGTCTTCGTGGGCCCTCGGCGGCTTTCGAGACCCCGGGGCACTCTCCATGCAGAAGCTGCGCCTCGCCGAGGGCGTCCCGGGGCTGCCCAGATCGCCCCGAGCTGCGTCGACCCCTTGAGGTCTGGACCCCTTCCCCGGGACCAGCCTGTCATCCTGAGTCGTTTTTTAACGGTCCCGAAGCCCGGGTAACTTGGCCCCCGGGGGCCGAACATAGCGAAAAAAATCCCGTTGTTTTTTTCACAACGCGAGGGGGTCTGGGAAACGAGGGCAGCGGCCCTGCACGAAGCCCCCCCCCCCCCCTGGGCCTTCCTGGAAGGCTGCCCCCCCCCCCCGCGCCGGGCGCGCGGGGCCGCCGCAGGAGGGCAACGCCAGCAGGGCGAACCTGTCGACGTACTTCGACCCCAAGCTGATGGCCATCTTCCGCGAGAAGCAGGCGCACCTGAAGGAGACGGCCCTGCATGGCCAGCGCCCGGGCGCTCCCGGCCCCCCCCCCCCGGGGGCGGGGCGGGGCCTAGGGCGGCTCTCCCCGCGCGGGTTTCCCCGCCCGGGGGTGGGGGGAGGGAGAAGTCTGGCGGTCGGAAAGGGGCGTGGCAGAAAGGGGCATGTTGCCAATGGTGGAAACGACGGCGATACGATCTGCGATAAACAATGAACACCACACCCCGTTATACCGTGCCCATTTTCCTACCTCCAGGGGAAGAGGTGTCGGCCAGCGCAGCGGAGGTTTCCCAGGTGTGGGGGCCAGGATGCTGTGGTCTGGTGAGGGCTTGCCAGGACCTGTGGGCTTCTTCTCACCCGTGCCTCTCCTCCCGTTCCCTCTTCTCTCGTTCCAAGAGGGCATGCCCCCAGAACCCAAGGGGCCCTCGCCAGCCATGGCGGGGGGGGGTTAGTTGTCCAGAACGACGAGGGTGGACATGTTTGGCCTCATGGCCTCTTCGGATGGGCACACCTGGGCATGTTGCACCATTCTGCGCAGTTTGGTCACGTCGTGAGGGTTCCATGAATTGCAGCATGCCCTGGAGGGCCCAAGCGAGGAGGCCCATATATATATATATATATATATATATATATATATATATGTATCAGCATTTGTTGTATCGGAGGAGACGATGAAGGACTTCATGGTGTCCAAAAAGGAGCTGGACGTGGCCAAGCTCGCCGCCAACCTGGCGATGAAGAAGCTCAGGCTGGCCAAGCTCGCCGCCAACCTGGCGATGAAGAAGCTCAGGCTGGCGACCGAGAAGCCCCGTAGATCTTGATGGGCCGAGCGCATGGCGGAGGCCGAGAGCGTCGGATGGCGATCAGGAGAACCTGCGTCTCCATGGGGGGCCAAGCAGGACATGACGGCTCGCGCGGAGCAGCTGCTGGGGGCACTCTCTGGGTGGCCTTGCGGCGTGAACATCGAGCTACCTGTAGAACGCGTCGTCTTGGCTCGCCGAGGCGCTGCAGGACGAGAGTTCGTGGAGGACTTCGCAACGTGACGAAGAGGGTTGGGTGAACGTCAGGAAGTTCTTGGACCAGACCAGCAGAAGACCACCCATTCGTCAAAGACAGCAACCTCCGCCTCTGACGTGGAGCTGCGGTTCATCATGGCGGTTCTTTCCACGAGTCCTGGTTTCCGCCTCCAGGGCTCCACAGAGACAGCCCTGACTGCCATTCAGATGCTCAGGCCACAGTGCCTGGAGGGACTTGGAGAGAGCGCTCTTCCCGTTCCTCGGGCAGCCTGAACGCAACACGGTCCGTCTCAGGATCAATGCCACCAGTCTGGCCACCCCCACCCCAAAGGAGGCGCGTGGAGGAGAAGGAGGGAGAAGGGAGGAGGAGGAGAGGAGGAGGAGGAGGAGGAGGAGAGGAGGAGGAGCGGAAGGAGGATGAGGAGGATGATCATCCTCCTGCTCTCATCCTCCTCCTCGTACAACCCTCCTTCCTCCTCCCTCCTCCTCCTCCTCCTCCTCCTCCTCCGCCTCCTCCTCCTCCTACTCCTACTCTACCTTCTCCTACTACCTAACTCCTACTCCTACTCCTACACGCCTCCCCTCTTTCTCATTATTCTCCTCCTCCCCTCGTCCTCCTCCTCCTCCTCCTCCTCCTCCTCCTCCTCCTCTTCCTCCTCTTCCTCCTGAAGTGGCTCCGTAGCCGCTTTGGCTCAAGGTGTCGCTTCCCGCCCGTGCCTTTGCGAACAGCGCCGACGTCGAGAATGTATGCCCGCGCGCATGTTGATCCCCCCGCCGCTTTTCAGCGCATCTTGGCCATGGTCGACGGGATCGCCCTGAACTTGGTGACCGGCGTGGCTTCACGCAGGACGTCGCCACCTTCCCCGACGGCGGGCGTGAAGCCTCAGCCGCTGACTCGGCAACTGCTGCCTCAGCTGCTGCTGGAGGTGCAAAGGCTGCACACGATAATTTGAGATTCTGCTGGTCGCGGCCTTTGAGTTGTCTCAACACAGCGCTCCGTGGTGAGAGGCAGCCATGGCACGTGCCAGTTCGAAGCTCGAGTGCAGGCGACGCTCGTGGGCCGGGCGCAGTCCAGGCAGGACGCCGTCACCGCGGCAGCTGCCACTGCAGCGTCGGCACAGCTCCGCGTCGCCGCCCGCCACGCAACATCTGGCAGAAACAGAGGGGACCACTCGGCCCCCTGAGTCGCACTCGCGCGACTGTCATGGCCCTTGCGGTCGACCAGGCCAGGCCGCTCGGGACAAGGAGCAGCTCCTGTGGATAACGGCACGCGACGCGCAGCGCCCCGCTGGTGCACGGAGGGGCGCAGACGCCCCCCTGCATCGACGCCTTGGCCACGTGGGAGCGGGGAGTCGTCCCCGCGTCTGCTCGATCGGCACCCTTTGGGGGGGCAGAGGAGCACAGCGTACGACTGGGGGAGGAGGAGGAGGAGGAGGAGGAGGAGGAGGAGGAGGAGGAGGAGGAGGAGGAGGAGGAGAAGGAGGAGGAGGAGGAGGAGGAGGACGGAGGACGGAGGAGGAGGAG